TCCTATGGGCCAATTAACCTAAAATTTAGGCTAGAGACTTAGCGCATTAAGTTGTATGTCCCAGCCAATTTATAGCCCTAACCCAGGGCGGTAAATCGAGTTAGTACTGAGTCGATTTTCCAGGTTAGGTTTGTTAGGGATGGAATATCCGCACTAGTACAATCTTCGTGCGTATTTTTTATCACGTAGGCTTATTCAATTAAATAGTTATTTGTCGGTTGAATTAGGTTCCTAGAGGCCAATTGACCCAAAATTTGGGCTGAAGATTCAGCGCATTAAGCTGTACATCCCAGCTAATTTATAGCCCTAGATTCCGTGTAGTTATAGGGGTTAGGGTTACGCGTTAGGGTTGGGGTTACGTTAATGAGGCGGTAATTAGACATCGAAGGTAACTCTACTATAGGGATTAACATCTAGCATAAGTAGTAACGCGTCGCGTTATATATTAGGTTCTAAGGTAAAAAGGATATATTGCGCGAGGAATAGATTATGTAGTTAGTAGACTAGCACCCATAACCTATTAGTAGCCCATACCAGCCCATAACCCATAAGTAGCCCATACCAGCCCATAGCCTATTTAGGATCCTATGGCCCACCACCATAGCAGTATGGAAGTTCCTAGTATGGTAGAGCGTAGCGCTATAGGTAAGTATTTTAAGCATTTACCTAAGTATTTATTAGTAATATGTAGAGAATGCAGGTACGGCATTTTACCTAGCTAGATACCATATTATTTATAGCGGCACCACCGGGTTCCCCATAAGGAAGCCAACTCCATAGTAGAAGAGGTAGGTAGGTAGGTAGGCTTAATCTAGTATATAAGCCAGCTTAAGGTGCCCTATAAGGCTATTAATCCTATTAGCCAGTTGCCCATATACATAGACAGGCTTATGTGCTAGTTAGCACTAGAGAGCTGCCACTAAGTATATTAGAGTGAAGAGGTAATAAGGAAGCATTAGTAGAAGGTGCATAAATGGTCTATAGAAGGAAAGTGTAGCCGCCCTAGCTAAGTAGGCCAGATAGGTATATAGTTACACAGCGAGTAGGGCTGGAGGCATATCTATTACTAGCGTTTATTTATATAGGGCCCTAGGTCGTAGTATTTTAAGGTATACCAGCCCGAATCCACCCCCAAACTAATAGATGGCGAGACAGGGTGGGCGCAGGTTATTAGGAATGTGGACGAGGCATGGGGTAACGTATAAAAGTAGGCTAAGATAATAATCTAGGATGGCACGCGTAATAAGGTGAACCCATGGCTTAAGTAAATAGGATGGATGCCGTATTTAGTAGGTATGGAGTGACCCAACTTATTGGTAAGTGTAGAAG